TGTCCTACTTCCATGAGTTACCAATTGACAATTGGAGGCCATTAGATTTAGAACTTGGATTTACTAATTAATAGGTAGGTTCCCCCCAACACTTCAATATGATGTTACATGGATGTGATAAAACAGCATTTACAAATATATTCTGATCAATCCACAAAGCCAACAGCAATCAAATATAATCTATGATTAAATAACAATTTATGAACAGCTATTTTTAAGGAATCTTTCACACAAGTATTTTTTATTGAAACTTGTATCAATTTTCAATTCAGAGAGAAATGTTTATGATGCCTAAGTAAAGTGAGAAGCTGAGTTTTCACCAAAGGAAGCTGTGCAACTTGTTTTTTAGGATGAACTTTTCAGGACAGTTTGATCTCAGTTCTCTTGGTTTAAAAATCAAGATTTCACCGTTACTCCAATCTACAAAGATAGACTATAAGACACTAACTAGACTGCTAAAATACAATAAGTAATCACCACTGTTCTTAGATCAGCTATCCCACAACCTTTGTTCATTCTGAATTGAAGAAAATTAGTGGGCAAAATTTAGGATCCTAGAATAGTCAATATCCTCTGACAGCAAGGCATGAAAAAACAATCACAGTAGATGAGAGTAGACCATCTCAAGAGCCCTGCTAACAGGGTAAGTGCCAGAAACCTAGAGCAGGGATACCCAGTAATACTTTCCCTCCTTCCACAAACAAGGCAGAATGGAATAAATAAGCAATCGGGAGACTGAGGTTCTAGTTCCCAGTCTGCCACTAATCAGCAATGTGTCACTTCCCTTCTCTGAGCCCCGGTTTCTTCCAGTTAAATGGGAGGGCTGGGATAAATGATCTCCTGGTCTTCCTACTCTAAAAATGTTAACATTCTATCCTTCCTTCCAACATCTCAAAAATATTTTGGTTGCCATGAAAATAAAATTTTTAAATAAAGAATGCTCAAAATGTCACATTTATTTTTATAGCATGTTCTCAGTGCCAGCCTTTAGTATGTGTATGTATAACCCACAAATTAGCAGGAACATTAATCTCAGATAGAGTTTACCCAGTAAATATTTCAATTGAAATCTATAGGTATTGCATCATGTACCAATACCACCAAGTTTGTTCAACTAAAATCTTTTTTAAAAATCATGGAAAGATTTCCCAAGAACAACAGTTTATCAATAAAAGCACACTATTAAACTTCAATATGACAGACTTTTAGGGTTGGAAGGGTTCTCAAAATCTCCTCAATTTAAAGATGAGGAAATGAAATGACTCATAGTCCAGGGCTTTCTTTTACTACACTGCACTTCCTCCTCCCCTTCCTGCTTTATCAAAAGACCACATGGTAGCAGAAAAAAATGCTAGACTGTGAAACTGATCTGGATTCTAGTCCTAATTCTGCTATTGATTTACTGTGGCACCTTGGACAAGTCACTTTCGCTCTCCTGGTTTTGGTTTTCACATTTTATATGAAGGGATTTAACTAGATGTCCCTTCTAGCTGTAGCACGCTATGATCTTATAAAATTCCTATCTGACAAAACAAAATACACATTCCAGAAAGAGAAAGTAGGAACTTCTAGCCAAGAGAACTGAAAAGTTTGGGCTGCTGGTTTTAAATAGATGCATCAGTTCAATTCACCAAGTTTGTCCTAAAACATTTTACTTCAGAATCTCCTAGAGGATATCCTCTACACACACACACACACACACACACAGTGTGAGGCTGCTATGATGTATTAGAAAGAAAAATACTAAAGTAGGTGTCTAAAGAATTGGTTTCAAATCCCAGCTCTGTCACTTATAAGCATTGCCTCCCAGGCCAATTCATTAACCTCTCTGAGCCTAAGGTTCCTCATATATAAAAATGGAGATAAAAATAAGAAAAACTGACCTAAAATATCAGTCAAAATAAAGCATCATAAATGTGGTATATATTGCAAAGCTGGAAGTGGAGATGATCTGCCACTGTGGAAAAGTAGGCTGTATTGGAATCAAAAGTCTTCCTATAAAACTGGGCTAATTTTTAACTTAATAAATGTGCTTTCAAAGAGGAAAATAAGGCTGAAGATACACCACTGGAGGGGAAGTAGAAAAAAAAATCAATATTAGGAAAGATTGTGTATTTGGACTCCACTTATTAACAAAAATGAAATAACTCTCAACTGCCTACTCAGTTTACTACAAATTTGGTAAAATGGTATGTGTACTCTAGAACATACAATAGCAAGAAACATTTTTTTCAATCCTCACCCAAGGATATGCTTTTATTGATTTTAGAGAGAGAGGAAGGGAGAGGGAAAAACATCAATTAGAGAGAGAAACATTGATCGGTTGCCTCCCATATGAGCACGTACACTGCGGATCGAACCCACAACCTGGGTATGTCCCTGACTGGGAATTGAACACTTGACCTTTTGGTGTACTGGACAATACTCCAATAGAGCCACACCGGCCAGGGCACAAGAAACACATTTTTAAAGTACTCAAATTCAGTCTGCTGACCTCTTAGAGTTTGTACCGTGTGCACTCTGGTTCACATCAAAGGACAGAAGATATTTCTGATAAGGTATCTAGTGACACCATCTATTTCCACAAATCAAGATTTCTCACTGCATTTCTAGGTTGTTAGTTACCCAGCCAAGTCTCCTCAAAGTACCTTATGCAAATGACAAAACTTGTCTCAAAGAATAGAGAATATATGATGCCAACCTTTTGCTGCCCTCTCAGTACTTTTAGCTCTTTCCAGATGCAGCTCTCCAGGTGAGTCTCATTCTCTTCCAAATCCCCTATTTACAGGTGGTGAAATTTAGACCGACACAGCAGTTTTTTGTTTGTTAATCCTTACCTGAGGATATATTTCCATTGATTCTTAGAGAGGATGGAAGGGAGAGAGAGGGAGGGAGGGAGGAAGGGAGAGAGGGGGAGGAAGGGAGGGAGGGGGGAGGGGGGAGGGGGGAGGGGGGGAGGGGGGGAGAGAGAAACGTCTACATAGATTGGTTGCCTCCTGCATGTGCCCCGACCAGGGCCAAGAATCGAACCTGCAACCCAGGTTACTTGCCTTTGAACAGAAATTGAACCCTTCAGTGCTGGGGCTGACACTCTAATCACTGAGCAAACCACTGAGCAAACCAGCAAGAGCAGACCGACAGTTTTATCCATAAGCCTCAACAGGCTAAACATTTGGGTAGGTTAGAGTTAAAATTAGAACACTGGGTCTCAACAGAGATATTTTTACTTTTCACCTAATATCAAAGGATCAAAGAGCTTGAGAAGCTACATTGTCCCAAGAGGGAAGAAATGACTATCAATTCTATCAAAATTACTCATTCAGCTTAGACAAGTTAAATAGCTCCAAGTTCTGCATACTTCTTCCCAAAGTAAGCTCAGTATGAAGTTAATATTGCTAATTCCAAGAAAGGAAGAAGGGAATGAACATTTGAGTTCTTTCTCTGTGCCAGGTGCTGGAATTGGCAGTTTACACAGGTGCTAATATGACTGTCCTTTGAAATTAAATTTGTCTTATTCATTAGAAAAAAACACTATTCACACAGTTCTAAATTGATTACAATCCTATACATCGATTGTTATTTCCCTCTCCACTACACACGCACTCACGCACGCACAAAAGTAGTAAGGAATTAGGTCTTCATTTAACCTGAACTGACAGTTCATTACTCTGAGGAGAAAACCACAAAAATAAAATTTAACTTCAAGGGGATCCAATGTTTTTGGAAATACAAATGTATTTTCTATCCTCTACCATCTAGCTATGAACTTGTTTCAGATACTGAATTTGAAGGAGATTTAGTGCAATCTCAAGATTGGCCATTGCCACCCCCAAATACCATAATAGTGATATGAATGTTGGTGGAAACACATACATCAGCGATTTACCTAGTACATTTCCTTTACTTTACTGCTGTAATTTTTTTGGTAATACATTATATATTAGGTTTTAGAACAGCCTCTAGAATGTACGGATAACTTTATTTGCAAGGTCTTCCTTCCAAGGGCTAAACTTGAAAATTGATGGCAGTTGACTCCTGGAAGCATATTAGTGCCTTACATTAATATACAAATTTTACCAATTCTCAAATTCTTACAGCATGAAAATATATTTTATTGCCTCTAGTCCCACACAAGTCTGTAGAAGAGTTCGTCTATAAACAGTATTCCAACTTTGAATAGTGGAGGAGTCGGTAAACATAAGTCCCAGTCAAGGGAAGCGTTCCAACTACTGTACTTCCTACTCAGAATCTCCCATATTAATCACCACTAAAACATCTTGCGGAATTAGATAAAGAGCACAAAGCTGGGGCTCTCCTTCCAACCACCAGATTACTCAGCACTTGCTTGTATCTCTGTAGTCGGTGGTGTACATTTATGTGCGGCTACCTTTTAAGATTGCATTCTCCCTAATGGTAAAGGACCTTCAATTCCCTTTGCCTTTCGGTAATGTGGTATTTTAATAACACGCTGTTGATCGAGAGTACATCAGCTAGATGACTCGCCTAACTAAACACCCAGCCCTTTCCGCCGTTCCTTTTCTTTCTGTGCAAGGAAGAGAACGGCAAATCCGGAGAGTTACAGCTACCTCTAAAACGAACAGGTAAGTTAGCGGAAAAAGAAAGAAAAAAAGAAAAAAAAATGGGAAATGCAATTTCTCTTGTTACTGCTCCTTTAACCTATGGTTCCTAAGGCCAAAACGGATGTTTCAAAGGTGAGCTCTGAACCCCACAAACACAAATCGCCGGCTCTCGAGCACGCCAGCTGTCCCACCTAACAGAAAGCTGGGCAAGGTGAGAAAGGAGTTCCGAGAGAGCCCCAGGGGGCTCTCTCCAGGGAAAGGAAGGGGTTTGCTTGAGGTGGGCGACCCCCCATCCCCCGACTCACTCACAGAAGTGCTCGAGACAGAAGAGCAGCGGTGGCGGACACAGTGGGACCTGTAAGGGGTGGAGGGGGAAGCCAGAGGGCCGCGACGCCCGGCTTCTGGGCCATAGCTACTTACCCTACAGGGTAGCTACCCCCTAGGTGCACATCTTCAGGGGCATCAAAGAATTCCTCGGTGTCGCTTTCCGACGCCATTTACAGAACACACCCGCGAATGAGGGGGCCGACACCGCCTGGGAGGGTGACTCTTGTCGCCTCGTCGTCGTTCTCCACCCGGCTAGACCGTGGGGAGGTGGGTCCCGCGTGAGGACGAGGAGGGAACAGAGGATTTGTAGTGAGGAGCCGGTTAGGAGCAGGGGGTCGCCGTCAGCTACCGGACTACGGGATGACCGGCAAAGCGGCCGTCTGATGAGAGGAGAAGGCGTTGGGTCCAGGGACTGTTGCTGCCACCGCTCCCGGCTATAGATGTATAGGGAGAGCGAGAGAAGCGGTGGCTCTTCTCAAAGCGGGAGGGCGGACGCACGGACTATAGCAGCTCCAGTTTCACCCGCAGCAGCAATTACAACAGCTGCGAGAGCTAGTTGTCGGCAAAATACGGACGCGCACCTACCCTCGCGAGATTTCGGGCGGGGGCCGGTAAAATGTGGGTGGGGCGAAGAGGAGGAGGGGGCGGGTCCAGAAAGGCAGTGCTCGGATTTCTTCGGCTGAAGAAGCCTATCAAAACAGCGCAAGCGCGCTAGGTCAGGAAGTAGCTGAAAAGGGTGGGGATGAGCTCCCGAAGGGAGGAGTCTAGAACCTGCGCAGGAGCTGCGTGGTACCCGGGCTTTGAGCGAGTGCCTTCCGACGTAGGTGGGGGTCCAGGTGAACCTTTTACCCACCAACCCTGCAGTTCTTGAGAGAGGCATTTTCAGAGGGGTGATTTTGAGTCTGCTTTTTTCTGAAGAGGAAATGCTGTCGGGAAATGTTGGCCTTGTGGTTTGCGTTTACATCGTCTTAATTTAGCCAAGCCCTGAATAGCCCAACCTAGAGCATAGGCAGGTCCACCACCTCTACCGTTACAGGAATAGCACGCCCTATTTACTACAAGATCTATAGCTGAGATCCCTAGATATGGTCCTGTGGGCCCCAGGGTGGGGTCCATGAGAGAGACGTGGAGAGTGTGCCAGTTCCATGGAGTGATGAAGGATTTATTGCTGGAGCAGAGCCAGTTAAGGCCTCCGGTTATTTTTTCTATACAAATATCCGTTGCTGCCCACACTTAATGTCAGAGAAATTCTTATGTACTGGCCAAGATGTGCGTCAGTCAAATGGTAAATGCTGAGCAGATATCCTTGCAAGGCTAAGAGCAAGTAACTAAATTCTGATCCTCTACTGCCCAGTGTCCAGCGATGAAATTCGGTAATTTATAAAAGACTAAGATGATCTTTCTTAAAAAATGGATCATTGACAAAGTGATAACATTAACCTTCTATATGGTAATGAAGTACATTTATTTTTCCCACTGACATAACAGGAAGGCTCTCTGAGCTGTTTGCGCAACCTTAAGTATTGCTCGACATGGCAGCAGAAAAGATGGGATTGGGACCTGGGACATGGTCTGAGAAAGGCTGGAATAGGCCTCTAGATTCCTCCTTGTAAAGCAACCAGGGAAAGATGTGCATTGTCTGGCAGACTTGTGTAAAACCAAATGCCAGGTAACACCCTAGGGAGTTCAGGGCAAACATTGCTTGCTTATTTATTTATTTATTTATTTATTTATTTATTTATTTTTGTGGAATGGCCCCCAGCGGGAACCGAACCTAGGACTCTGGTCCTCAGACCGAGGATCAACTGCTGAGCCAAACTGGCCAGGGCAAACACTGCATATTTAAATATGGTAATATTTCTTGTAGCAAACCATATAATTATTCATATGGGATAAATAAATACCAGCAAAAAGCCTCATTCAGGTTAGGTCAGATACTGCTAAATAAGTTTATGTTAGATCAATTTGACTACCAAATAAATTACTAAAAATACAAAACAATTTTTGGTTTCCAGAACTTTTTGGATTTCAGAATTGCAGGCAAGGGATTTATAGACCATTGTGAGGATATGATTTGGTCACAATACAGTATTAGGTTTTGTGTTTTAAACCCTTGAATTTCCTAGGTACAAAATGTTTCTCAAAGTACTAACTTTATTTTGTTGCTCACTTGGAAAGATGATTTTTTCCCTTATGAGTTATGGAAAGATATAAGTAAATAAACTACCTGAATTATTATCTTCCTAGTAATATAACAGTAAATTTATGTTTGCCTTAAAATTTAAAGTTTGCTGAGGACAATTCAATGATTAAGAAGACAGCTTAGTTCCTGTCTCCAGGAGCTCACAATGTAGCAATGAAAACAAATACGGTGTCCTAATTTGGTGCTTTTTTTTCACTATACCATACCACCTCTCTTTGACTTTTTACAGTACCTTAAATATTATACTTAGAAAAAAAGTCAAAATAGAATAGGAATGATAAGCTGATAATATTTTTGTTATTAGATAAAGTATAAAGTTGTCTATTAGATGCTTTTATCAGTGGTATGAGAAAGTGAATTTTTCTGGGAACATTAAAACACATATATACCACCTATCCTTTTTTTAAAATTAAATTTATTGTGGTAACATTGGTTAATAGCATTATATAACTATCATTCCTTTTTAAAGATGTGAAAATATGTGTTTGTTTTGCCTGAAAAAAATCTGTTCTTGAGGTTTTTTGTTTTTATCTTCACCCAAGGACATTTTTTCATTTTTTGTTCAGATAGAGTGGGAGGGAGAGAGAGAGAAAAACATCGACAAGAAAGGGACACATCGATTGGTTGGCACCCGCACATCCCAACCAGGGCCAGGGACAAACTGCTACTGAGGTACGTGCCCTTAGTGGGAACCATGCACTTATCGGGAACCAAACCTGGGTCTGTCTGGATTGCACGCCAACACTCTAACCATTGAGCCAAACCAGCCAGGGCCTGTTCTTGAGTTTTAAAGCAGCAGGTTTTAGGTTTAGTCCAAGGCAGTAGTTTTGAAGCTTTTCTCCTTGTTAGAAATGAAACCCTTTCATTAAACCTAGTTGATGCAAAAGTCTGTATGTCATACAACTAAAAACTTCTCTAGTTGAAGTAGGGATAGTTCAGACCCCTGCCTGTTTGGCCATCTCTAAGCCTCCAGAGACTGCCCCCAAGGCTTCATTAATAAAAAAGAAAGTGAAAACTATTGGTCCAAAGCAGGAGTTGGCAAATTATGGTACACTGGACAAATCTGTCCTGCCTGTTTTTGTAAATAACATTTTATTGGAACACAGCCAGGCCTGTTTGTTTATGTATATCCTACAAAGCCTAAAATAATTACTCTCTATCTCTCTTTTTTTTTATCCTCACCCGAGGACATTTTTCCATTTTTTGTTCAGGTAGAGTGGGAGGGAGAGAGAGGAACAGAGAGAGAGAGAAACATCGATGTGAAAGGAACACATCGAGTGGCTGCCACCCGCACAACCGACCAGGGCCGGGGACAAACTGCAACCGAGGTACATGCCCTTAGTGGGAACCGAACCCGGGTCTCTCAGGACCGCAGGCCGACGCTCTAACCACTGAACCAAACCGGCCAGGGCTACTCTCTATCTCTTTACAGAAAAACATTTACCCCAGAACTGTAAATACTGATTAGTTGAATCAGTTTCAAAACAGAATCATACTTACAGATAAAAATGAGAATAAAGCTTTTCCCATCAGGTTTGTCCACAATGACTTTAAAAATTACAAAGGTCTAAGACTAAGGTGGGTTTAAGGAAAATTTTATGTTTCCTTATCTGCATAGCATAATCTCGAAAAGCTAGAATATGGAACAACTTTGTGGGGCGTTTGCTGTCTCCTGTTGGCAAGAATACAAACTGGCAATATCCTTGGGGCCAAGTTTGCTCCAACCCGTGGGTAATCACTCAGAACATCAGTGACAACACTGTAATGCTTTTTAGTAAAATGTAGGCTTTTTATGTATAGGGTTAGGTGATTTGAGATGCAATATTGACAAAATTTAATATTGAAATCTCAGAGTTTTTCTGGATTTTGATGTATCATAATCCATGAAAGAAAATCATTTTGAAACTGCCCCAAATGTGTCAGGGCCAACATAAATTTCTATAATAATCAACCATCAATTATCTGTTTGAAAAGTCAGTTGTGTGACAGATTATAATAGTAAATCATTTCTGTCTGGCTTTGGAATCTTTATATCTTTTTCAAATCCACCTCACCTTTTCTTTTTTTTAACATTTAAAACTTTTCATTATATTCTAGCTTGAAAGGAAGGGAGGAAGGGAGGAATGGAGGGAGGAAGAAAGGAAGAAAGGAAAGAAGGAAGAAAGGAGGGAAGAAAGAAAGAAAGAAAGAAAGAAAGAAAGAAAGAAAGAAAGAAAGAAAAGAAAGCCTACCTCACCTTCTTGATGGTTTATTTATGTTAATATTAAAATGAAATGTCAATTTCTGAGCACAGAAGAACTCAAAGTTAGAGAAAGGTAATCTACAAATGTGTTAAGAAACACAGAAAGGCCACCCTGGGATTTAAAATGGGTTACTGTTGTGTGATGGAATATTAAGTAGCCATGTATTACTGTTCAGAACTCTTGAAGAAAGGTAACAGGAATTATCTTAAACAATAAAAAGGCAATTTATTCACTTGCATAATCAAGAACATATTGCTATAACATTTGCCTGTTCCATTGTGATTAATATATTAGAGAACAATTTGAGCATGAGGTACATTTTATATTTGCTTATGTGCAATTTTGTTAGCCAGAACTACTAAGTGCAAGCAGAAAACTACACCCAGCTGAATTAAGTCATTTAGGAATACGCAAAACACATATACACAAACCCCCCTCAAACATCTACTAGTTACCTCAGTTCATTGTATTTTGAGTCACACCCAACCACATTTGGTGTTACAACTTTCCCTCTGACAGATAACCTTCCTTCCATCACTTTGCAATAACTCACAAGTAGCACCCCCTCTGATACCCATTTCCATAAGCAAATTTCAGTTTTTTAAAAAAATAAATAGAGCTATATTTATTGTAGTATTTATGTGTTTCTTAACCATTTAACATGTGCAAGGCTCTGCTACCATTATTATTTTATTAGGCTTGTATCTTTTTGTGTATGTGTCACTTACAAAGTTGTGCTCTTAGTCCCATTTCCCCCATAAACCCAGTGGGTTTTATTGAACAATATTGCATAATGCAGTGATTTTTAAGAAAGCATATGTTGCCTTATAGAATCCAGGGTCCAAGATATATCAATAATCTTTCTTTTTTTAAAAATTTATTTTTATTTATTGATTGATTTTAGAGAAAAAGAAAGGAGGAGAGAGAGAGAAACATTGATTTGTTGTCCTGCTTTATGCATTTATTGTTTGATTCTTGTATGTGCCCTGACCTGGGATCATACCCACAACCTTAGTGTATCAGAACAACACTGTAATCAACTGAGCTACCCCGCCAGTGCCAATAGTCTCTCCTCTTGTCCACCTCTCATCTTTGCTTATCTCTGCTTCTTTTTGTATTTTGGCTTCCATTTTCCTATTCCAGACAGCTTCCTTCTTGTAATGAGCAAAGATAGCTGAAAACAACTTCAGTTTATAATATCTTAATAAATCTCAGTCCCAAAGGACATGAGACTTTCAGTGTTCGTATATTAAATCTCAGGGATGATCAATGTTGATTGGTCTTAGGAAATTCCTCTAGATAAAAGCATGGGGAACTCTTATTTGTCAGGTCTGGGTCAGCTGACTTCCCGCCACACATCCTGTGGGGAGAGACTACTGTGATTGTCTTACTCACTAGGACCACATGGAGTATGTAATGGATGTTTTTTCCAAGAAAGGGTTACTAACAGACAGGAATAATGTGCTAACCACAAGTTAAGGGTTCATTCTCTATGTTCATTAACATGACAAAAACTCGTGATATGTTAAATGAAAATAGTTATAAAAACTGCATGTGAAAATACTGCATATGGAATAATCCCACTTATGTAAAATTATTCATATATATATATGTGTGTGTGTATGTGTGTGTAAGCATAGAGAATTTTGGAAGAATGTTCACAAATCATTGATGGTGATTGTCTTTAGTTGCTGATTAAAAGATATTTGTACCTTATTTGTACCTTTATATAATGACTGAATTTTCTGCAGTGAATATGTATTACTTTGTAAAGAAGGGGAAAATAGTAAAAGAAAATATCTGACCAATCATATACAAGGTAGACTCACATACAATTAAGACCTGAGATTGGTTCCCAATATAATGCATGACTATGAATCCTGGGCCTATTGCTTAGCTTCTGGAATTTAGATTAGCTTCTTAGCTTCTGGAACACAGTTTAGCTTCTGGAACAGTTTAATATGTGCCACTAAAAAGCTAAACTTGGAAAAAATACCCACAAAGCAAATCTTGCAATGTAATTAGTCTACTAAGTAAAAAGTCATATTTTCTGCACTGTAGGTCTAACACACAAAGAGAATTTCAATGATAATTTCCAAAGCATCTGTGAAATGAAGAACTGATGTGGAGCTTGTAAAAATAAAGTATAATATTGGAGGTTCACTTCTAGTAATTTGGACTAAGCATAATTTTGTTTTTCAAAACAATAAGCAGTATATATGGCCTGATCTAAAGAGAGAGAAACTAAGACATGAATTTTATACTTCAAAAAATTACTCCAGGTCAAAAACTGGATAAGTGATTGCTGAAATAGTCCAATGGCAAACATTTATATGGAAATATCAATCATTAGACTAATGTGCGCACACACATACCCATTCAACAGCAACAACTAGAATTTCATAGACTTACAATTAGAAGGGACTTTAAAGGTCACTAGTCCCATGCTCACTTCCATAGCACATGTGCTAAAATTGGAACAATACAGAGAAGATTAGCATAGCCCCTGCGCAAGGATGACACACAAATTTTTGAAGCTTTCCATATTTTTAAAGGATTTCACCAGAATCTGCTGCAGGGGGTTTGTTTTATTTGTTTGCTTACTTTTAAATTTAAAACATTTGAAACTTTGAATACATAAGGCATTAGAAGGAGAACCCATTTTTTCAATTATGTTGGCTTATTGTAAAGCCTGAGTTATGTAAGATTTCAATAAAAGTTTGCTACCAAGATGATTGCTTTATTGAATAAGTTATTATTAATTCCTTTAAATATTGTTATCTGCGGTTTGTGGAAAAAAATGTAAATTCTACTTCAGTGTAAAAGAAGGCAAGCCTCAGACCATCAATTGATCAGTTTGGGTGGGTGACAATATTTTGTTCTGTTAATCAAATTTGCCAAAGTTATTGTAACTGCCCATTTAACAAGTTAAATTAGAAAAGATATCTTGTAGTAAAACAAAAACAAAAAACAGCCACTACTCCCAGCCTCATATCTGATACATGAATTTCTTTTACAATCTTCCCTGAGGGGTCACTCAGAGATATGGAGCTTACTATTTACCCAGTCCATTTTTTGATAAATGTTAACAAATTTCTTCATTGTATTTAGCCCAAATCTGCATTTCATGTTTTATTAATTAATTAATATTTGTTACATATGTTTCTCCTTTCCCTCCATTGACACCCTCCTCCCTATCCTGCCCCCAGCACTGTTGTCTATGTAAATGATTATGCATATATGTTTGTAAATTCTGTGGTTAATCTCATCCCTTCCCCCCACTCCCCTCCTGTGAGGTTTATCAGTCTGAACCACATTCCTTTCAATTCTATGGGTATGTTTTGTTCATCAGATATTTTTTCTTCATTATATTCCACAAATAAGTGAGATCATGTGGTGTTTGTCTTTCTCTGATTGGCTTATTTCGCTTAGCATAATACTCTCTAGGTCCTTCCATGTTGTCTCAAGGATAAGAGGTCTTTCTTTCTTACGACTGTATAGTGTTCCATTGTGTATATGTACCGCAGCTATTTTATCCATTCATCTATTGATGGACACTTGGGCTGTTACCAGATCTTAGCTATTGTAAATAGTGCTGCCATGAACATAGGGGTACATATATTCTTTCTGATTGGTGTTTCAGGCTTCTTAGGGTATATTCCTAGAAGTGGGATCACTGGGTCAAATAGCAGTTCACTATTTAATTTTTTGAGGAAACTCATATTGTTTTCCACAGTGGCTGCACCAGTCTGCATTCCCACCAGCAGTGCACTAGAGTCCCCTTTTCTCCACACCCTCGCCATCACTTGTTGTTTGATGATTTGTTGATGGCAGCTATTCTGGCAGGTGTGAGGTGATACCTTCCAGTTGTTTTAATTTGCAACTCTGATAATTAGTGATGGTGAACATTTTTTCATGTGCATCTTGGCCATTTGTATGTCCTCTTTGGAGAGGTGTCTATTTAGGTCCTGTGTCATTTTTAATTGGATTATTTGTCTTCCTTACGTTGAGTTGTAGGAATACGCTATATATTTTGGAAATATATATCCCTTATCTGATGTATCATTAGCAAGTATGCTCTCCCATAGAGTGGGATCCCTTTCCATTTTGATGCTTGTTTATTTGCTGTGCAGAAGATTTTAATTTTAATGTAGTTCGAAGTATTGATTTTTTCCTGTGTTTCTCTTGCCTTAGGTGTGTTGTATCAGTGAAAATTCAGCTGCGTATGATGTCTGAAATTTTGTTTCCTACATTTTCTTCTAGGATTTTTATGCATTCAGGAGTCATATTTAAGGCTTTTATTCATTTTGAGTTTATTCATGTGTATGGTGTAAGCTGGTGGTCTAGTTTCATTTTTTTGCATGTAGCAAACATTGCAATTTACCCCAACATCATTTATTAAAGAGGCTCTCTTTACTCCATGGTATGCTCTTGCCACCTTTGTCAAATGTTAATTGAGCATAATGTCATGGGTCAATTTCTGGGTTCTCTGTTATGTTCCATTGATCTATATGCCTGTACTTATGCCAGTACCAGGCTGGTTTTATTTTTATATACATACTTTTTATTAATTAATTAATTAATTTTTGTTGCAGATGTTTCTCCTTTCGCCCCCACTGATTGCCCTTCCCCCTCCCTCCCCGCCCTGTCCCCAGCTTTGTTGTCCATGTTCATTATTAATACATACATGCATATTAGTTCTGTGGTTTACCTCTCCCCCACCGCCCCCTCTTCTGAGGATTGTCAGCCTGTAACCCACTTCCACATCTCTGGGACTACCCTATTCCTCAGACTGTTATGTTCATTATATTCCACAAATAAGTGAGATCATATGATACTTGTCTTTCTCTGTTTGGATTGCTTTGCTTAGGATGACACTTTCCAGGTCCCACCATGTCGTCTCAAAGGATAAGAGATCTTTCTTTCTAACAGCTGCGTAGTACTCCATTGTGTATATGTACCACAGCTTTGTTATCCATTCGTCTAGTGATGGGCACTAGGGCTGTTTCCAGATCTTAGGCATTGTAAATAGTGCTGCTATGAACATGGGGTACATATATTGTTTTTGACTGGTGTTTCAGGCTTCTTAGGGTATATTCCTAGAAGTGGAAATCACTGGGTCAAATGGAAGTTCCATTTTTAATTTTTTGAGGTAACATCATATTGTTTTCCATAGTGGCTACACCAGTCTGCATTCCCACCAGCAGTGCACTAGAGTCCCCTTTTCTCCACACCCTCGCCAACACTTGTTGTTTGATGATTTTTTTATGGCGGCCATTCTGACAGGTGTGAGGTGATACCTCATTGTTATTTTAATTGCATCTCTCTGATGCTTAGTGATGTTGAGCATTTCTTCATATGTCTCTTAGCCATTTGTATGTCCTGTTTGGACAGTTCTCTATTTAGTTCCTCTGCCCATTTTTTTAATTGGGTTCTTTGTCTTCCTTTGTTGAGTTTTATGAGCACTCTATATATATTGAAAATTAACCCCTTATCAGATGTATCATTGGCAATTATGCTCTTTCATACAGTGGGTTGCCTTTCCATTTTGGTGGTTGTTTCTCTTGCTGTGCAGAAGCTTTTGAGTTTGATGTAGTCCCATGTGTTTATTTTCTCCTTTGTTTCTGTTGCCTTAGGTGATGTATCAGTGAAAATTCTGCTGCGTATGATGTCTGAAATTTTGCTGTCTACAGTTTCTTCTAGGATTTTTATGGATTCATGAGTCACATTTAAGTCTTTTATTCATTTTGAGTTTATTCTTTTGTATTGTGTAAGCTGGTGGTCTAGTTTCATTTTTTTTTCCTTTAGCTGTCCAATTTTTCCAACACCATTTATTAAAGAGGCTGTCTTTACTCCACTGTATGCTCTTGCCACTTTTGTCAAATATCAATTGCCTTGAGTTCACTTCTGGGTTCTCTGTTCTGTTCCATTGGTCTATATGCTGTTCTTGTGCCAGTACCCGTGATTTGATTACAGTGGCTTTGTAGTATAACCTGATATCCGGTATTGTGATTTCTTCAACTTTGTTCTTCTTTTTCAAGATTGCTGTGGCTATATGGGGCCTTTTTGGGTTCCACATTAACTTTTGGAGTATTTGTTCTAGTACTGTGAACTATGTCACTGGTATTTTAATGGGGTTTGCATTGAATCTATAGATTTCTTTGAATAATATGGACATTGTAATGATGTTAATTCTTCCAATCCATGAACAAGGTATATGCTTCCACTTTTTTATATCTTCCTCTATTTCTTTTTTCAATGTCCTGTAGTATTCTGCAAATAACTCCTTTACTTCTTTGGTTAAGTTTATTCCTAGGTATCTTAATTTTTTGCCCCAATGATAAATGGAATTTTTTTTTAAGTTTCTCTTTCTGTGAGTTTATTATTAGTGTATAAGAATACCGTTGATTTCTTGATGTTATTTTTGTATCCTGCTACCTTGCCAAATATGTTTATTAAATCTAGCAGATTTTTTATGGAGTCTTTTAGGGTTTTCTATGTAAAATATTATGTCATCTGCATATAATGACAGCTTCACATCCTCTTTACCAATTTGGATTCCTTTTATGTTTTCTTCATGTCTAATTGCTGTGGCTAAGATTTCCAGTGCTATGTTAAATAAGAGTGGTGAAAATGGGAATCCCTGTCTTGTTCCTGTTCTTAAAAGAAATGCTTTAAATTTTAGCCCATTGAGTATGATGTTGGCTGTTTATTTTTCATATAAGGGTTTTAGTGTGTCGATATATGATCCCTCTATTCCCTCATTGCTGAGCTTTTTTAAATCAGAAATGGGTGCTGGATATTTTTGAATGCTTTTTCGGCATCTATTGATATGATCGTATGCTTTTTATCTTTCATTTTGTTTATGTAGTGTATCACATTTATTGATTTGTGAATACTGTACTGACCTTGCATCCCTGGGATGAATCCCAGTTGGTCATGGTGAATAGTTTTTTTGATGTATTGCTGGATCCGATTTGCTAGTATTTTGTTCAGGATTTTGGCATCTATGTTCATCAGGGATATTGGCCTGTAGTTTTTTTTCTTTGTAGTGTCGTTATCTAGTTTTGGAATTGGAATTATGTTGGCCTCATAAAATTAGTTTGGAAGTCTTCCTTCTTCTTGAATTTTTTGGAATAATTTGAGGAGAATGGTTGTTAGTTCTTTTTTGAATGTTCGGTAAAACTCCCTCGTGAAGGTGTGCTGGGCGAGGCTTTTATTTGCTGGGAGATTCTGGGTTACATCTTCAATTTTCTTAGTTGTCATTGGTCTGTTGAAGTTCTATGTCTTCCTGGTTCAGTTTTGGGAGATAGTATATTTCTAGAAATTTGTTCATTTCGCCTAGATTGTTCAATTTGTTGGTGTATGATTTTTCATTTTACTTGTTAACAATTCTTTGTATTTCTGTCAGTTGTTACTTGTCGTCTTTTATTTCTGATTTTGTTCATTTGGGTCCTCTCTGTTTGTTTCTTGGTGGGTCTCGCTAAAGTCCATCAATCTTGTTCATGTTTTCAAAGAACCAGCTCTTTGTTTCATTGATCTTTGGAGTTG